AACATGGTGTTCTGTGAGGAATGAATAAATTAAGTGCGTAAGGACGTGCGAGTTGCTTTTCCCACATTTCCGAGGGGAGGGCGGATGCCTGCAGGTAGGAGGCGCACCCGGGCACCCGCACACCAGCTGCGACAAGCCCTGTGACTCTGAAACCCCGGCGGGGGCGCCACAGCCCGGAGAGCACAGACTCGTCTCAACCGCGAGTGCCCGAAGGACGTTCACATTTTCGTCTGTGCAGGGACTGTTCTAGAACCGGATTTTGTTTTTGAGGCTCCAGGAGGTGGGAGGGAAGGCTGGCCAGAGACACGGGCACTGGGATCCAAGGTGGCGCGTGTGGCACACACGCACACGTGGGCCCGGCACAGCGGGACTGCGCTGCAGCAGAGGCCGGAGGAGCTGCTACTGGAAATCAGAGGGCGACCGCAGGACGCGCAACTCAAACAGGACTCTGTGAGCGACCGACGGGATCGGCTTAGCCACAGACCTACAGCGAGGGTTTCCCCATAACTGTCCAAAGTCTTGCGTTTAGTGTCCGTCCATCTGCATCGTTACTGCTTTTAAAATGGGCGCTGTCACAGGGAAGCAGGGGGCGGCGTGGGGAGCACCGTCAATGGCCCGGGGACGAGGCCGCGTGGGGTCACAGCACCTGCCGATCAGACCTGCTGCAGCGCTGTGGGGCGGCCGACGCCACAGGGATACCGCGCGCGGATCCTCCGATCGCGCTGTGCGAGACCGAGGGGGCACCACCCTGACTCCATCCTCGAGAGTTCCCCTGCCACACGGAGGAGGCGCACAGCCACAGCCACCAGCCACTGACTGGAGGGCACACGGTACCGTCACCTGGCAGAGCGCGGCTGACCTCTCACCTGAGACCCTACTGCTGTTAGACTTCAATATTCGTACGTCGGCGTGCGTAACCTACCTGGACTTTGGAGACTTAGATACAAAAACAGACTCGATAACTAATAAAAATAGTGGGCCTAGCGCAGGCGTACGGGGGGCGGTGGGCATGTGTGTGGCAGGGTGCCGTCCGGGCGGGCGTCCTCCTGGCGGAGGTAGGGCTGCGTCTGGCCAAAGGGAACTGTCAACACTGCAGGCTCTTTTCAACTACACACTCTGCAAACTGGTCCTGCTCTAAGAAGCGCGGCCTCCCCGTCCACGCGTCTCACTCAGATGCGAACACTCACCCCATAATCCAGGGGCACGGGGCCACCCTCGCAGGGCGGCAACCCTGCCCAGCACGGGGCTTCCGCAGAAAAGGCAACGCCATCGACAGCCGTAAGCGAACGGAAGACAGACTTGACGCTGCTTCGGGGGTACGGAGCCTCCATCCATCAGAACTGTTCCAGATACTCCGCTATTTCTGATAAAGCCGCTCTCACTAGGGCAAGACAGGAGGCCCAGGTCGCTGCCTGAGCTGCCTGCGACACGCAGAGTGACCGTCTGCAGCAGGCCGTGTCCTCTGGGCTCTCCCCACAGGTCTCTAAAGAATTCCCTCAGGGCGGGGGTTTACAACTCACCCGGACACGGGGGAGGCGGGGGGCGCCAGTGGTGGCACCTCCAAGCAGGGCCTCCCGGCAAAGGGAAATCCGCCAACTTAACCACATCAGGAACACCCCGCGAGAGAAAAGCTCCCACAAATGTCTCCAGATCTTGCTAAAAAGCTCAACTTGAATCTCAACAGCCCACCCGCGGCGATGCCCACAGAGCGCCTGGGCCCCGCGCTGCCTCGTGTAGCGGTGGCCGGTGTGGGGGGCGGCGTGTGCCTCCGGGGGAGCAGGGGAGGGGCGGGCGGGCGACGGCACAGGTGGGGACACGTCCCTCAAGTCACTGGCACCAAGCGGGGGTCTTGTCAGCGAGGAGGGGGGGCGGTCCCGGCCACGTGCGGCGAGCTGACTGCGTGTGGGGCCCAGGCTGAGCAACCCGGGTGTCAGCAGGCACTTCCGGCGTCAGAGGACAGCAAGGGGCCGCCGATCCCGTGACCGGCCGTGGTGCCACGTGAGGACGGGTCCTCCGGCTGCCCAGGTGCAGGCAGAGGTGTGGGGGCACCGCCTGCACGTCAGGGCCCGGAAGCACCGACGGGCGGCGGGTGCTTACTCCCCTGCCTGCTTTGGTCTATTCTGAAAACTTTCTAAATAAAAAGCTAAAAACTCAGCTCCAGAAGATGAAGTTTCATCGAGGAAACCACACGCCTCTCCAGGAAGGCCCGCGAGCAGCTGCCGAGAGCAGCACGTACCCACAGGTGTGTCGAGGCGCTGCCGCCGCCGTGCAGGAGCGGGGGGCGGGGGGGGGCTCTAACCCGCCCCCGAGGGGCGCGCACCGGGACAGCGCGGCTGGCTGAGCGCACGGTTGTCAGAGGGGACGCCGTCGGGACGAGCTCTAGGAAGAGCACTTTCCGTGGGACCGACGGCATGTCCGCGCCACAGGTCCAAGGCTGCCCTTCTGAGTGACGCAGGGCGAGCGCAGAGTCCGGGACACGCTCTTCCACCCCGCGGTTCCCACGGCCGCCGCCCTCCCGCCCAGGTCGGGGCGTCTCTTCGCAGCCCCGCAGCTGGTGTGAAGCGGCCGCAGGCCCTCGGCGTGCGGGGGTGGGGTGGGGGGCAGGCCTCGGCTCTAAGGGGCGGCACAAGTGAGGAGGACGTGCCCAGCGCTGGTGTCCGCACGGCGGCAACGAGACACAGCGGAGGTCAAGGCAGCTGCAGAAACGGGGAATCTATACACGTTTAGCAAAACGCCCCTGCCAGGCTTCGGTCAATGCTGATGACCAAAGGCCGTCCCCCGGCCCCAGACAGCTGGCTACTCGGTGCGCACAGGCCCCCGGGCGCAGGGGCAGATGGGAAGCCTGCAGGTGGCACGGGACGTTTAGGAAACTTTGTCCTAAAAAAAAAAAAAAAAAAAAAGGAAACTTTGCCCTGAACGTGGCATCGCTCTACTGGCCGAGACCAGAAGAACTACAGAAACCCAGAGGACAAAACCCAACCTGCAGACCCATCTACAAAGGCAACTGTCCTTCCAGATGGCCACGGTCTGCGCCGTGGGCAGCGGCCCTGACCTCTCAGACGCACAGGCCACGGCACTCGCGGCTGCGCCCGCCCGGTGGGCACGGCCACCTCAGCCTGCCTGCTCACGTGACCTCTCCCACGGCCTTGGAGACGGACACCGTCCAGGACGTGGCCTGGTAGGGGCAGCCGGCGACGGCGTGTCATAGGCCACCTGACCTGAAGGAAACGCCCCGGCCACAGGCAGAGTGAGCATCTGAGCCCCCGGGGTGCGGACAGCGAGCCACCCAGCCCGTGGGTCTGAGGGAGACAGCTCTGCTGAGAGCCTGCACACCCGCCTCAGGCGCACGGGTACGTCGGTTCTGCTTTTTCTGCACCAAGTACCTGATATTCCAATTAAGCTCGATAGGAGAAAACAGTTCAAACTTCCGTTGCGTTTTAAACCCAAGCTCCCACAAGCGCACTATCTACACACGGCGCGGTTTCTGGTCTGAGTCCGTGGGCGAAGCCTTTGGCCAGGGGCGCCCCGGGCAGTGCCAGGGACCCCGCCACGTGCAGCCGGAGCGCCTCACTGCCCTTCCCAGGATCTGGGCTCTGCAGGGCTCGCTCGGGCTCCCGTGCGGTGGCCGGACGCACCAAGCCACACCACCGTCCTAAGGACGCCCGAGCAGCGCCCTTCATCTTAAAAAGCAGCAATAGGCATGAAACACAGATTCCGTTAAAGATCAACGTGAAGCAGGACCGTGTGACACCCAAAGTGTAGAGCAGCAGGTTTTAGGCGAACCCAAGCCTCTGCCAGGAAAACCACGCTGTAAAGACTAACCCATCAGCCCCTAGCCGGAAACACGTCTCTATCTTCAGCCTTTTCCCATCATTCTAAGCAAAGTTGTATCCTTTGCTATTCAAACACAGAACCGTCAATCAGCGAATTAGGAAGAAGCGGAACATCTAGCCGTGAACACAGAATCACCTCCTACGTCTAAAAGCCAACAATCTGCGCTCTCCCTGCACCTGAGTGGGCAGGTGGGTCGTCCTGGACGGAGCCCGGGGCCCGTCAGGCTGGGCTTTTATCTACCCGCTCTCCTGGAGTCAAATTCTTTATACTCTGCAAATCGAAAATGACTCTCTCTCCGCCTGTCTGTGCAAAAGGGTTGCTGAAGAAAAGGCTCATGTCTAGGGGGGCCCCAGCCTCGGCGCCCCAGGAATCTGTGTCTGTGCTGCTGGAGTCCTCGGCCGCCGTGGGAGGGTAGCTGAGCTGCTCTAACTGGTCGATGATGTCACAGAGCTGGAAGGCCGAGCTGGCCTCGGAGCGCACCGAGCAGGCTGGGAAGTTGGCCATGGAGCTGGCCTCGGACTGATTGGCAGAGCTGGGCGTGCGCACAGACAGGCCGCCGGGCAGGGGCACGTTGCTGAGGGAGCTGTCCTCAGACTGGTTGTTCCTCAGCGAGCTGGTCTCTGAGGCGCTCAGCAGGCTCTGCATCAGGCTGGCTTGTGCCTTCACCTCAAACAGCTCTGAGGTGTCTGAGGGGTGCACGTCGCCGCCAAAGCCGCCCTCCCCCTCAAACTCAAAACTGTGCTCTACGTGCACGTGCATGGCCTCAGTGGGGGACCTGTGTGGGCTGGACGGGGCGGAGCCTGGGTGACCACAGGACGGGGCCTGCGGGGCTAAGGCACAGTAAGGGAAGGAAAAGGCCTCCGAGCCTCCAGCAAAGAAAGAGATGTCTGCTGGGTCATCATCTATGAACTCCTCAGACACCTGCAGCCGGGTGTTTGTCAATGTGAAAACAGGCCCCCCCGCGCCGCCCTGCCGGCCCTGTGGGTGCTCCCCCTCGGGGGGCGGCGCGGCCCCGGTCAAGCCACTGCCACCCCCACGGTCGCCTTTCCCAGCGGCTCTGCGCTCCCTGCCAGTACCCCCTGCTTCTAGGTCTACGGTGCTGTCGTGACTCTGCCCCACAGGACGACTGGGGCTGCCACTCCTGACAACACGACAAAACCCAACACCTTGGCAAGGCTGCGGTGCAGGGGGTCCAGGGGACTGGGCCCGTCTGGCGTCGCCGTCGGCTGCTGCTCCGCCGCTCCTCTCCGCAGCTGGCCTCTTGGCGTCGGGAGCCTGGGGCTCTGTGAGGGAGCCACTGCTGTCTTTGAAATCACACGGGCCTCGGGGGGCCAGCGGGGAGGTAGGAACTGAATAGAAGGAGGCGTTTGTTGAAGATGGGGATGCGGAAGTCCTCATGCCCTCGGTGAATGAGATGCTCTGGGGATCACAAGTGAAGAAGAAAAAAGGAACACATAAGATTACAAATTAGCATCAGCAGGCCGCAGAGCTACCTGGAGCCGGCCCAGTACGTCCACACATTTCTATCCCGGCCTTTGCGAAGAAGGGCAATTGACCAGACTGCCCCGAATGAAGATTTGCAAATGCAGACAGGATTCCGAAAGGACCCAGGTCGCCTGTTTTAAATCCCTTATAATTTCATTTTTTTCTCCAATGCGATTGAATGTCTACAAGGAAGAAAATCTCCATCATGAAAGCCTAGCCACGTGCACTCCCGTCTCCTGGGTGTCCCTGTCACCCCGAAGTTGCATGAGGACGTGCTCTGAGGGCAAATGACAGTGAGACGGTGTGAGCTACACCTGTCAGCTAACAAGACCCCACGTGACACACACATCCAACTGCTGCACTTGGAGCTCACTACCCAGCGGGTCACTGCCAGCGCCAGTGGCACAGGAGCCCGGCGCATCTCAGAAGCGCTGGCATAGCCCCCAGCCTGAGTGAGAAGAGGCTCATGGGCAGGGGAGCCCAGTCCTCACTCAGGTCCCTCACAGGAGGACGCGGGCCGACCCCTCGCTACGTGTTGTGTCACTTCTCATGCGTCACAAGACAGAGTTGTGCCTCCAGGAGGCTCCAGATGACACGCACACACACAACACTATCGAGACGGTGTTGAGACCAAAATATCACCAAGCAGTCCCGAGTAACCGCGTGTGCGAGGAGCCGCGTGCTGTGCAGGCAAATGCCGAGGTGGAAGCCACAGTGGAAACCCAGCAGAAACAAAATGGTAGCTCTCAGGCCACAGGTTAATCTGCTCAGATGCTCATCACATCACCTTTCCGTCATCCTTCAACCACACTCAGCCTTCTCTTGTGGTTGTTAAAGGAGAATATCAAAACTGAAAGTCTAAATGCAATTTTTAGACTATTTATGCAATTTATTTTCTAAATAGGCTCCATACCCAACGGGGCTCGAACTCACGAGCTCCAGATCAAGAGATGCACGGCCCTCCCGGCTGAGCCGGCCAGGTGCCCCCATGTGTACTCTTTTAGACTATTCACAAAGCTGAACTTTGTTAGAAAAACAAAAGTTAATTCTTTTAGTTTCAACTGATTTAGAAAAAAGACTCCTAAATACCAAACATTCTTAGAGAAGCTAATGAATGTTTTTATTTAAAAGACAGAGTGAAGGGACGCCTGGGTGGCTCAGCGGTTGAGCACCTGCCTTCAGCCCAGGGTGAGATCCCAGGTCCCGGGATCGAGTCCCACATCGGGTTCCCTACATGGAGAGCTGCTTCTCCCTCTGCCTGTGTCTCTCTTTCTCTCTGTCATGAATAAAAAATTAAAATCTTAAAAATAAAATAAAATAAAATAAAATAAATTTGTTTTCACCCTCATCCTATCAGCAAAAAATTTCACTCTGTGAATATTTAATTAAGTAGACTAGTTCCCAAAGCTGGCATCCTCCACCGTTTCAAGCTTTTATAAAGGTAATAGTCATTCAGTTGTTTTCCTGAAATCTGAAAGCAGAGGGAGCCCAATGCGGAAAACTAAAAGTACAAAGAGAAGATAAACTTGCCCGGAGCCCTGTCACTCAGAGGTCACAGCACACGGAGGCCTCTGCCTCCAGCCCGGCGCTCTGAGAACCTTTCTACCCGGGCCACTTGGCCACCTGCTAGCGTCCCCTGCTAACCCATTCCGCGCGCGCCCCTCGCACCCACTGCTCTCCTCAAACAAGCACCCCTCCTCGAGTGGGCGCAGCCGAGACGGCGCTAGGGAGTCGTCCTGCACAGGTGGGGGCTCCGGATTCCTGGCGTCACACACACCATAACGCCCGACCCGACGCACAACGCCTTCTCCTGACTTCGGCCTCCTCTTCTGCAAACGGCGCCAGGACTGGAGCGTCCCCGTGAACAGCAGGGCTGATTCTACGACACCCGTTGCGGCGACACCAGCTTATCTTCCCAAAGAGCAGGTGATTAATGTCATGTGTGTTTCGACCGGAAGCACTAACCTGCCTTGGCAAGTCTGCAGTCAGAGCACGAAGAGACACCCGCGTCTTGCTGTGTCTTCTGCAAACAGAGAACAAAGTGTGAGCCACCACGCCAACGTCCCGGCTCCCCGGGCCTGCGGGGCAGGGCGAGGTTCTCAGAACACGCCTCAGGCTGTCCGGCCAGAAACCGGCAGTGACTCAAACAGAAAATGGATGTCGCAGAAGAAGTACAACTGTCCCCCACACTGAAGAGAAATCTCACCCGCAAAGGAACAACATGAATTTCCAGAGTGAAAACCGACCACACTGAGCAAAGGCTCGCATGCGAGAGGACCCGCGCCCGCACGCACTACCAGGATGTTCATCCGTGATCGTTGGAAGAGAAGAGAAACAGGACTCAAGTGTCAAAATACAGGTCTATGTGCGTGAGAGGATTTCTGTTCAAATAAAGGCTAAAGTATACAGAATACTGATTTTTAAAGCATATATCTTGCAGCATGAAGACCGCGGGGCTTACCTTTCATATGGAACTCTCTTCACCCCACTGTCCCTGACGTAGTCCACCAGCTGTTTCTGAGTTCTTCCACTGTGAATAAAGGTTCGGATTTTAGAGAAAAGAACCAATTGAGATTCACAGCATTAATCTTCCACAAAGACAAGGTAACACTTGCCGACCCTCAAAGTTCACACATACGTTTTATTATTTTTTTTTAAAGATTTTTAAAATTTATTTATTCATGAGAGACAGAGAGAGAGAGAGAGAGAGGCTGAGGCACAGGCAGAGGGAGAAGCAGGCTCCACGCAGGGAGCCCGACGTGGGACTCGATCCCGGGGCCCCCGGGTCACGCCCTGGGCTGCAGGCGGCGCTAACCCGCTGGGCCCCCCGGGCTGCCCACACGCACATATGTTTTAAAGCTACACTTTGTAGTAAGCGTAACTGAATCTCTTCAGTTTTTAATCAAAGCCATTTCCCCACGGGTTCACTTGATGTGCTTCCGCCAGTCCTGCTAGCTGCCCTCTGTGTGCAATTCTCGGACACATTTATTTCACAGCCCTGTTTCCTGACAAGAACGCTACAGCGTCAGCCCCACGAAGCCCCCAGCGCCCCGCCTGGCGTGTGGGGCTGCCCCACCTGTATCTGAAGGACGAGCCCCTGCTGAAGAAGACGGCTTTAGCTTTGGCCTTAGGTTGATCGAAGAGCCTAAAGAAGGTGTGGTATTCCACACAGATCTTCCAGAAGTTCTTACATTCATCTCTACTGCCCAACAAGAACTCCAGCGTGTCCTGGTAAGGTCCCTAGAAACAAAACACAAAGATTCAAGGAACTAATTCAAGAAGAAAATTTAGGAAGCATTCAGCATTTTACTTCTGAAACTTATCTGTAAAGACTTCTGGCACCATTTACATTCAAGAGAAGGAAAACGGTATGTACACATTCGCTGCAGAAACTATCAGAAAAACGCAGTCAGCCACGATCACACAACTGCTGACATTTCCAAGTGTACCCTTGTGACACACCCCACCCAGCAAACCAGGGCCTCGTCTCTGCCGGGGAACTATCTGCTGCTGCTCAATCATCTCCCTGTGGGGTCCCGGGGGTGTTCTGGGTGGGCAGGACACACGGTTTCAAAGGCTCACACGCGTCATCTTGAAGACACAATGGCGTTATCTCTCACAGTTATTGCTCAGGATAAACTCTTAGAAATGCTATACTGACCCTAAATTATGTACATTAAAAAAAAAATTTAAGTAATCTCTACACCCAACATGGGGCTCGAACTCATGACCCCAGGATCAAGAGTCGCACGCTTTTCCGACAGAGCCAGCCAGGTGCCCCAATAATGCACAGTTTTGAGCCTCGTGACATGTTTCCGAATTACCTTCCAGAGACACTGTACTACCTGGACTCCTATATTCAGTCTTTGAAATCTAAGTGCCGCGGGATATAAGCTGCAGCTCTGCACGGGCAGGAGTGGTGGCCCCTTGGAGCCCCGAGCACCACGCTGCTCCGGCACGCTGCGCACCGAGTCCTCTCCATCCCGAGCTTGTAGGAACAGCCCCGGAAACAGTGCTCACACTCAGCAAAAAGCAGTCCTTTGCCTGCATTCTGTGTATGTTTTCAGCATTCCTTAGACTTTCCTTCCACCCCTACAACAGATGCTTGAGTAAGAGGCAAGCCACCCTTTCACGCTTCTACAGACAGCAGACGCACACGCAGCCCATGCACCTGCTGCGAGGCTCAGGTGGAGCCGCTCTGCCCACCGCTCACCGTCTGCGCTCCGACACCCCCTCAGCCTCCTCCCGCAGCCGTGCGGCTAATCCACTCGCAGTTCCTGACCTCCTCTGTGCACTGGAAATTGTACACCTTCGAATCGCTTCAAGTACTGGATTTTTCCTATCAGACTGCATAGATATTTACGTTCTTCCATCTTTACCCATTTTCAGTGAATTTACATATAATGATGACTTTATTGATTGACAATCTCAAAAGGAAGGAGTATCTATTTTCTGAGAATCAAGGCTTCTCCAATCGGAGCCAGCGTAAGGTCAATTTCTGAATACACGAGAATACTGGGAACGTCCCTTACTCTGGACAGAAGCTCTGGCGCTGATCTGCCGTAGGGCTTCGGATCACAGTGAAATACCTCGTGTCTCAGCCTCCTCACATAGACGGCAAAGAGGCTGCAATCGACGGATTGTTCTAGCAGCCCCTGCAAGCTTCTCTCTCAGCCCAGACCTGCTGAACCTGAAAGCTGGCCCGGCCAAGAGTGGTGTGTGCAGCCCCACCCTCAGGAGCAAGACCCGCTGGCAGGTTACCCGAGGCCCTTCCACAGCCCAATTCCAAACCCATCCTTAAATTCTTGTGGGCATGACGCTGAAGTGATTCATAAAATAATTAACGAGTCATTATCTAGCAGAAGAAATTCTCCTGGAATTCAGAAAGTCCTCAAAATCATACTTACACGGACCTCTGGGTGCAGTTTGATGAGAAACCTTTTCCTTTTGAAGCTGAGTTTTCGGACCCTGGACCAGTTGAAAGTGTTAATTTTGGTGGTGCCCTGAAATTCAAGAGATGGACACTCAGACACATTTGTAATCCGGACACACACCCAGATACTTTTCATACAAGAGACAACGTTTAAATTACAGCCTTGCCAGATGGCACAGCAATGCCCCCGGCGTTCCGTTCTATGATTGCATCTGGAATGGCTCTGAATTAGAGATGTCAATACTAAGCATAGGAATTTACTTGTTTTAGAAGGGAAACTTGAGGTCTTTGGCTTTCTGACAAATTATTTTTTATCCGTGCAATAGTAAACACCAGTAAACACTTCTTGAACCCCATTTCTGCAGAGGTGGTCAGGAAAGAGCGATGGTGCTGGCCAGGCAGTGGCGGGAGCACAGCCAGATTCTCACTGCCGGGAGGGAGATGCCGGGCTGGGTGGTGCTGTGCCGTCCTGAGGGAGCCGACGGCGGGAACTCCTGACACGCCAAGAAGCAACGGGCACACTGAGTACTGAGTGTACCGGGTCTTGGCTTTTAATTACGACGTTCCAATGGAAAGACCAGGGCTCTCCGGTCTTTGGGGTGAGGTGGGCAAGGCACAAACCGTTCCCGGAATGTCTTGCTGGCTAAGATAGTAAATAAGTGCTCTAGGGATGGGATGTGCCAACCGGACACGAGAGCCTGCGCGGAGGGACGTCCGAGGGCCAACGTGGGGCAACTCACAATCAAGACAAAGACAGCAGCACATTAACAAGTGTCGGATGATAACCCGAACTGTGTGATTCAAATTCTGATGCGACCAGAATACAAACCCACGAGGCCACAGTGATATGAAGTAAGCAAACGCAGAGAAAACCCTTCCAGAAGCACAAAAGATGGAATTAAAAAAAAACCATCATTTGGCAGCCATCAGAGAAATCCAACCAGGCGGGTGGGTGAGGTGCAGACCTCTACAGGGCCTCAAACTCTCTCCACAAAAGGCTTATTAATCACAAAAGACAACAAGTAACTTTAGTAGAGCAGCTTGTCAAATGCCATTCGAGGTTGACACTGCCAGCAACGGGACAGACGGCACCATGGGCCACCCCGCAGGCCGTACCAGGATCGTCGTCACTCCTGTGATTGGGCCAAGAAGCTCAGCCTAGGGTCCGATCATCAGCAAGTACTCGATGAGCCCATATTATGGTCATCACAGACTGGCCAGCCTGCAATCATGAGAATCAGGGAAAAGAGGAAGAATGTTCCAGACTGGAGAGAGCAGATGATCGGGCATGGTGCTTCATCTTAGATCAGATCTCTTGCAATAAACAAGATTAGGACAACCGGCGAAATCCGGATGGAGGGCTCGGGTGAAGGAGTTCTTTGTACTGTACTTTCCTGTACGCTGTGGGTTGTTTCAGAATAAAAACTCAGGGTCTTGAGACCCCCTTCCTGGTATTTTCCCCCTTCTCTTGACCATCATGATCGCTTACTCTTCTCTGCAAACTTGAGATAGGGCAGCAAGGAAGGGACTGAAGTTTCCCCTCAGGAAATCCAAAAACCCTTCAACCTTAGAAGGGGATAGGACGTGATACGTGTCAGCACGTGGACCGGTTCTGCAGACGCGGGAAGAGGCCCGGCGTGAGGACCTGGTTTAGGTGCGGTGCGCGGCCGGAGAGCCCGACGCAGGGTGGGCAGTGGGAGGTTAAAATGACTCTGGGTTACGCAGGCTGAGGGCTGCGTGATTCTGTAAACACGCTAAGAAGGGCGAAGGCATCCTGGGAAGTGGTGAGCTTTATTGCCTGCGAATCACATCTCTGTGAAAACAGTTCCCGCAAGCCCGGATAGCGATGTTTGGGTCTATGTTAGGACGGGAGCATCCCGGATTTCCAAATATTGTGCGAACATCTTACTCTCATTTTTGCTCAAATTAAAATACTGGCAAATTTTCAACTATATTCTCAAAAAAAGCAAGCAAAACGAAAAGAACCCGAACACAGAACAACAAGGGAACAGAAGCCTCCGTCCCTCCCCACCACTGTCTTTAACTCCAGACGTGGTTTAGGTGCCTGGGCAGGGGCTGCGCGCGAGGCAGACACTGTGCATCCCCCCAAGACAGACGCGGGGCAGCTGACAGGGCTCACGTGCTGGTTCCACCGGTCCGCTACCTTTCCGCTGTCTCTTCCGGTCAAAATAAAAAAATGTCATATTCCAGAGTTTTAAGTATTGTCCTAAGTCAAAAGAAAAACCCGATGGCGACTGCTGGAGCGATCCCGGGCTGTACCACCTTGACAGACTGCGGCTTTTCGACTTTTAAAACTGAACGGCTGGCTGTGAACACTCAGAGCTACTGCTCTCATCTTAACCTTTATCCAGTAATCCATGGCGTAATTATACAGGTCAAGGAGGGCTTGAGACAAAACCCAGCCATTCGGGCCCTCCTGCCGCAACTCCCATCAGCAGCCCTGGCCCTGCTGGAACTCGGCCTCCTGAGCCCGCCTACACCCCCTCTGCAGTGGCTGAATTTTGAATTTGGTTTTTATATAATTGATCATTCGAGTACTTCTCACAGGTCGAGCCCTGGTGAATCATAAGTCTATTTTGCTTCTTTATTGTCAACCCTCCCTGAGACACTAAGCACCTCTTCCATTTACTTAATTTTCCGTGTTCCTATCACTAATTCAGCCCGAACTCCCCCTGCAGAATTTTTATTTTTGAGAGCGAGAGAGAGAGAGAAAGAGAGAGAGAGGGAGAGAGGAAGGGGACACACACACACACACACACCACACAAATGGGAGGGGCGGAAGGAGAGGGAGCGAGAACCCCAAGCAGACTCTGCACTGAGCACAGAGCTCCGGACCAGCTGGGCCTCGCGGGCGCCCCGTCCCTACAGGGTTTAAGACTCTTCAGTGGCTGTGACCCGGGAAGCCCGTCTCTCCATGCTGCTCGCATGCTGACGGGGCTCCCTGCCCGCCGCTCCCGGTCTGCTCTTTCCGCTGCGCGTGTGCTTTTCAGGGTGCTCAGGAGTCAAACCTTTGAAGAATTGTGTATCTGGAGAATTATTTTCTTTCCTCTGCACAGAAGTCACGTTGGGTGGGGCAAAGGGCCCCGGGTGGGAAGGATTTCCTTTTCGTCCGCACCACTGCCCGCCTCATCGTCTCATAGCTGCCGGTGTTGCCCCTGACAAGCCCGGTACCGTTTCCTTCGCTCTCGCCCTGGGAGCTCTCTGGGCCTCTCCCCATCCTGACATTTCCTGCTGGTGTGTCCCGCGGGGATCTCTGCTCGTCGGCTGTACTAGGAACGTGGTGGACACACTTCCCATATGGACACTCGTGCCTTAAGTTCCGTACACGCTCCTCACGTGATTTCTGTAACGGTCTCCCCGCTGCTCTGGGCTGTGGCCTCTGGGCCTCCCGCAACGTGAATCCTCGATCTGGAGGATTTCCTCCACTTCACCTTCCAGACAGCCTCCCCCGCCAGCGTGGTCCTCTCTGCGACCACATGTCTAGATCTGCAAGCACCCCTGTCCTCCCTGTGTCTCCTGTTTCACAGATGCAGGTTTTCTCTTCTGTGAGGCTTTTCAGAAAATGTAAGACAGTAAGACGTCGGCGAGGTTCAAAGCCTCCGGATGCCAGGGTGAGCCAGCAGGGAAAAGCCCCCTCTCGCCCGCTGCCAAAGCCTGCAGCTGCCTCCCCAGTGGCTCCGAGCGCCACCTGTTTACTTAGGTAGTGTGCGATCCTCCCTCTTTCCCCACGAGCAGCAGCAGACGGAGCGCTCCACACGCCACGGCCCAGGAAGCCTCCCCAGTCTCTGCACAGTTGCTTGATGTTCCAGAATATGGACGAGCCAGCCTCCTGGTGGTCAATTACCAATAGTTTACTACTACAAATAGGGCTAAAATCTAAAATTATAAGACAAAAAAGTCTTACACTTCTGATCCCTACACCTCACGAGCATGACACAGTGTAAAAGCACTTTTCTGGGTCTTGCCCGTCGGACAGATAAAAGATGGAATCCCCTGTGGATCCTATACGGTTTGTTTCTGCATTCCTTCCATTCCTGGCACAGGCGGTTTCTTCTGAGCACTACTTTGGTATCTTTCCTTGAAGAGATAGATTTCCTCAAGTTTCTGGTGATCCTTGGTTATCGGCCTGAGTTTAAAAGTGAGGCCCCAGGACTGCACGAGTCTGGGGCCACCTGGTGCAGTGGGTGTGAAATCTAGGGGCAGCCTGGTGAGAGGATAACTGTAAGGTCTCAAGGTGTCTCTCACCAACCGCTTACCGACTGAAAGAGAAAAACTAGTAACCACAATAAATAAGAACAGTAACTAAGACTAGGAAGAACTAGAAAGCTGGAATCAAGATTCACACCGCCAATGAGGCTGGATGGTGTCCCCATCGTGACCCCGCAAGGACGTGACACCACCTGGGTAGCAGTCCAGCTGGGAGTGTGTCCTCTGAACCTAATCCCAGGAAAACTGCCGACAAACCACACATGGAGAACATCCTATTAAAAATAAAAAGGGGGGGGATCCCTGGGTGGCGCAGCGGTTTGGCGCCTGCCTTTGGCCCAGGGCGCGATCCTGGAGACCCGGGATCGAGTCCCACGTCGGGCTCCCGGTGCATGGAGCCTGCTTCTCCCTCTGCCTGTGTCTCTGCGCCTCTCTCTCTCTCTCCCTCTGTGACTATCATGAATAAATAAAAAATTAAAATAAATAAATAAAAATAAAAAGGACTGTGCTCTTCAACACTGTCAATGTCATAAAAGATGAGGAAAAACGAAATGCTCCAGCTCCAAGGACCCAACAGGCGAGACAGCTAAGTGCCGTGTCCGGTCCTAGACTGGGACAACAGCAAGGAGGACACCGCCTGGCTGGCTGACAAGACCAGAGTACGACCAAGCACCAGCTGCCTCCGTGATAAGGGTAAGGAGTATTCCAGTCTTAGCAATACACGCCTTCAGGGTCAAGGGCTCTGGAGTCTGCAACTCACCCTCAGATGCTTCAGAAGGCCTGCGTGTGCCTGCGTGTTCACGTGTGCTTGTGCGTGCACACGGAGCGGGGGTGAGGAAGCAGGCCAGAGGGAAGCACCAACCACAAAGCACGTGTGTGAAATGCTGGAACGGGTGCAGTCTAGTTAGGGCACACGGGGAGGGGGGGTCTAGGTGCTGTTCTCAGTCCTACAGCTCTGCTGTGAGTTTGAAAGTGTTTCTGAAAGGAAGTCTGGAGAAGGCTCTGAAATGCTGGCTGGAGGCCCCATGTGGGCTGGGGGGAGCCACCACGTCCACACCTGCCGGGCTCCCGTAAGGCCAGGTGGACTCCTGGACAGTCTCCTGTCTCCACGAGGTCAGCCTGGCCACCTCTCCAGGGGAGCAGAGACGGGCAGGGCCCGTGGCAACACGGAGGTTAGAGGCTTTCCCTCACCCTCCGCGTTGAGCGGGGCACTTTGTCGCTCATCCGAGCCGCCCCAGGACAGGGTGTCCCATACCTGTCCCTCCCGGACGCAGTCAGGCTGTTTCCAGCTCCAGTTGCCATCAGGGCTGCCCCACGTTCCCGTCTGGGGACACAGCAGCCTGCCCCCCGCTCCCTTTCCAGCAGGCCGTGGGTTTCAGCCTTCCCCACTCATCTGCCCGTTTTCCAACATCTGAAACGTAGCTGACACTCGCCTTCTGTGGTTTCCTTCTCGGGTCTTTGTTCTTACTAGTTTAAACTTAAAAAAAAAAAAAAAATTCCTTCATCGTCCTACTGGTGGGGGTCTGAAGGAGCAAAAATGAATACCATCTACTGTGTTTAATCTGAAGTCTCCAATCCCTGCTTTTAACCTCTTCCAGTTATAAGTATTTATCCTTTTCTGGAAAAATTACCCGGCAGATTGGGACAGATGTGTGATTTTTATCTCTGCACGATAAAGGAGTGGTCATGGGAGTGAGCAGGTGTGGGAGGCCCTGGCTCCATGAGCTCACCGGGTGCACCTGACGCGGTCTCCACCCCCCCACCCCCCCCACCCCCCGCCAGCAGAGGAGAACGCAAACAACATCCTGTTTACAGAATTAGATTCCTTCTTTCCCAACAGGCAATTGAAATCTGATGCCCAAGTTAAAAAAAGGAAAAGACAAAGAGGACACGTGTGTGGCTTGACTATGGGGGCCTGGATCAGCCATATCAGGCGACCCCAGGTTAAGGGGAGCCCACAGCAGAAGGGGCCGCTAACGCAGCCCCCGACTCCCAGACACCCCGCCCGCGGCGGTCAGCGCCGAGCAGGCCTTTGCAGGGCGTCTACAAGCAACTGGGGCCCGGCAGCTTCGCAAGGGCCAGCCCCGGGGGCTCCCAGGAGGGGCAACCGCAGCAGCAAGGGGGCCCCTGGGCCCGGGCAAGAGGGCGAGGCGAGCCCTTCCAGCATCTCTAGGGCGCGGAGGGCCTGCGCTCTGGCAGCTGCCTTCAGTCCTTCCACGCCACACGCATGCTTCCCTGCAGGCAGGACACAGTGGCCCCTTCTGGAACCATCTGCCCCTCCATACACAACTAACGCAGATTCCCAAAGACCGTTCTGACGGTCACCACGCGCCTCAGCCTCAGAGTTGCCAGTCGGCTCTATTTCGTGTGCTGACACGACGACCACAGACACCTCGCGGCACAGCACGTCCAGGGCGGCCGCGTGGAGACGGCAGGTGACCAGGTGCCCGGGGGCGGGGGGCAGGGGCCCTGCAGCTGTGGGGCCGGGGACAGGAAGCAACCGCTCAGCTCCACGGGGTGAGGCGAGATCAGACGATACGCAGAGTTCCTCCTCCAAGCCCAAGACCTCACGCGTCAGGACCGAAGCTCAGCCCGCGTGTAAGGTCGCGGCGCGCCGCCCTCCCTACCTGGAACACGAGGACGCCCATGTGCGAGACAGCCAGGTTGATTCTGGCCCCCTCCCTGTCCGAGGCTGGGTGAAGTCTGATGCCGTACATTTCCAACTTCCGGGCAATTTCAAGCACCTGGAAATCCGACTCGGCAGGCGTCTGGCCCCTGTAAGAAAGGACGGCAGGGTCACAGCGCCGAAAGCAACTTCGCGTCTTAAAAAGCCAAACCAGAGCAAAATTATCAGGAAGACAAGACGCAGTAAAACGAAACTCTGTCAGGGAGAGGACCGCTCGCTGTGGGCTTCTCCACCCACGAGAAGCGCAGCGTACCCGCGCCCCGCACGTTCCCTTGGTCCTGTGCTGCATTTCCTGGCGGGGACGGGGGTCTGTGTGCATTCGCTGGATGCTCAGCCGAGCACCTCATCCCAAATACTGACACGGTCGCAAACATCACACGCGCGAAGCCCCACAGATAACACCAGCATCTCATTCAACCCATTTCCATACTTTAATAAAAAAAGTTTCATAATGTACAATTCCTACCGCTAGAACATACTTCTATAAGGATAAAATCATGAAACTGAATAAGCACGTTTCTCAAGTCCACAGTCCAGCCCCGCTCCCAGGGAGGAGCCCGTGACCTGTGTCACACGGACCAGCGTCCAGGAGGGCGCTGCTCAGACAGGGCACGGCCGCCCCGACGGGAGAGGGCTCTGGTCAGAGCCCCCACCCCCACCCCCACCCCCACCCAAGGCCTGAGCCCGGCCCCTGGGGTTCTCCAGCAGCAGCCCTTCCTCGTGCTTCCAGATACCTCAGCTTCTGGATCTTTTTTTTTTTTTCTTTTTTCTTTTTTTTTTAAGATTGACTGACTTGGACGGGGGCAGCACACCGTGGGGGGTGGAGGGTGCCTGAGATCATGACCTGAGCCGGTACCAAGCGTCCAAGGCTTATCCAGCCGTGCCGCCCGGGGGGCTCCCGGGTGTTTGGATCTGTAAGGAACGTGACTGTCTGGGTCGTGCCATTTCCATGGTTTCTATTCTTGGCCTAAAACCTCCACACTTTAAGTTTGAAAGGGACACCCGACATCAGCTTCCATTTTATAAATCATTAAGAAGGAATACCAGGGACGCCCAGGGGCTCCGTGGGTGAGCGTCTGCCTTGGGCTCAGGCCGTGACCCCGGGGGCCCAGGATCGAGTCCCACGCCGGGCTCCCTGCATGGAGCCTGCTTCTCCCTCGGCCTGTGTCTCTGCCTCTCTCTCACTCACTCGGTGTCTCTCATGAATAAATACAAGAATCCTTAAAAGAAGGGATGCCCAGTGTGTGCAAATGGTGTCCTAATGGGGAAGATCTGCTTATTCCTTTTATTTTTTTAAACTTTGGTAGGCTCCGTGCCCTCTGTGGGGTTTGAACTCCCGGCCCTGAGATAGGAGTCGCGTGGGCTACTGACCGAGGCGGCCAGGTTCCCCGAGACCTGCTCGCTCCTAACGCCTCCACTGCGGCAGCTTCGGAGGAGGGCGCCAGGCAGAGGCTGGGCGAGTTCTGAGGTGAAGCTAAGGGGAGTCGGGGAGGACTGGGAAGAAAGAGAGCAGAGCGGAAGCCTTTCTTCTCAGGGAAGCCCTAGACCCTCGTGAACAGAACGTGGAGACGTGAGGAGGGTAGAGGCCGTTCTGGCGAGATCTCAGACGGACGTGAGGAAACGGGAGATGGGCTGATGCTTCTTACGAAGCGGCACATCGGGCTGCCTTGTGTTTCTGTCCGTGTCTTGGGGGGGGGGGCAGAACGTGCCGACAAGGGGACTGGACGTGTGGCGGAACGATCCCTAAGGCAAGTCCAGAAGGTGCGGCTGGGCTCCTCCGACTCTGGCGGTAAAGCGCCCGAGAGAAGCAAGTGTGAAGCAGAGAGGAAGCGGAATTTCAGATCAGAAAAACGCTCAGGCACACGTACCGCCGAGAACGAGGCCACGAAGGGTGCGGGCGGCCAAGTGGCCGAGATGGGGGGGGGCAGCCGCTGAGTCAGGGCCGCAGGGCAGAGGGCGGGGGCCCACGGCCTCCATCAGGCTTCCACAGAGCCAAAGAGGATTACTCCCGAGCCTTAAGGCCTAAGGCCACTCGCCCCGCTGGCTGTGGGCTGGCCCTGCACCTGTCACCCGCCTTCTTCCAGTTTCTCCCTTCGAAGGGGAGAGCCGAGCCCAGGCTGCCGCCCAGCGGGGTGCCCTGATTCCACAGGTTTGCCTGGGGGATTCCGCAGGACGGGCCACCGCAGGAGCCCCAGCCAGACCTCATCGGGCAGACAGGCTGCGGGCTCGGGAGGGCCTGGACGTCGGAGCTGCTGGCGTGTGTCGTGCATGTGAGGATGATGTGAACTGTGTGGCGGATGATACAGGCGCAATGTGTGTCCTCCCAACTTCCCAGGCACAGCCTGACCCCCGGGATGATGGTTGGGGGAGGAGGGTGTGGGAGGGGGGCTGCGCAGGGCCCCTGGTGAGGCTCCAGGGAGCTCCCCGACGCTCCTGCCCTGTGAGGACAGAGGGAGAGATGCCATCCGTGAGGCAGGAAGCAGGTCCTCAGCGCACAGCCTGTCCCAGGGCCTCCGGGGCGGGCGTCCCCCCTCCAGGGCCGTGAGAAACCAAGGTCGTGGGCGACAAGCCACCTGCCGGGGTGCTCGGAGACAGCAGCCCCGAAGAACTGAGACGCCAGCTTTCATATTTTTTTCTTCAATCTCAAAGATCCAAAAGAACTGTGATAAAAGTAAAAAAACCTATTTCTTCAATATCTGACTCAGTGACTGCGTGTGATCACTTCCAGGGGCCCAAGGAAGGTGTCACACACTATGTAAGAAAGTTCTCTCGGTTTATCTGATACGTCATTTGCCAATATCTTCTCCCATCCTGTAGGTTGTCCTTTAGTTTTGTTGACTGTATCCTTTGCTGTGCAAAAGCTTCTTATCTTGATGAAGTCCCAATAGTTCATTTTTGCTTTTGTTTCTCTTGCCTTCGTGGATGTTTCTTGCAAGAAGTTACTGTGGCTGAGTTCAAAAAGGGTTTGCCTGTGTTCTCCTCTAGGATTTTGATGGAGTCTGGTCTCACATGTAGATCTTTCATCCGTTTTGAGTTTATCTTTGTGTCTGGTGCAAGAGAGTGCTCTAGTTTCATTCTTCTGCATGTGGATGTCCAATTTTCCCAGCACCATTTATTGAAGAGACTGTCTTTCTTCCAGTGGAGAGTCTTTCCTCCTTTGTCGAATATTAGTTGACCATACAATGGAATATTCCTCAGCCATTAGAAATGACAAATACCCACCATTTGCTTCAACGTGGATGGAACTGGAGGGTATTATGCTGAGTGAAGTAAGTCAATGGGAGAAGGACAAACAGTGTATGTTCTCATTCATTTGGGGAATATGAATAATAGTGAAAGGGAATATAAGGGAAGGGAGAAGAAATGTGTGGGAGATATCAGAAAGGGAGACAGAACATGAAGACTCCTAACTCTGGGAAATGAACTAGGGGTGGTGGAGGGGGAGGAGGGCGGGGGGTGGGGGTGAACGGGTGACGGGCACTGAGGGGGACACTTGACAGGATTGAGCACTGGGTGTTATTCTGTATGTTGGCAAATCGAACACCAATAAAAAATAAACGTATTATTAGAAAAAAAAAAATGATCCACCACTAAGGGCAGCCCAGGTGGCTCTGTGGTTTAGCACCACCTACAGCCCAGGGCGTGACCCCAGGGTCCCGGGATTGAGTCCCGCGTCAGGCTCCCTGCATGGAGCCTGCTTCTCCATCTGCCTCTCTCCCTCCTCTCTGTGTATTCTCATGAATAAATAAGTAAAATATTAAAAAAAATAACCCACCACAAAGAACAATTAAAAGAAATAAACTAAGTGCAATAATCATCTAATGACTGTGGAAGACAAGAGTCAGCACCGTGAGGGGGGCCGGCGGGCTCCGTCGCTGGGGTGCGGCTCCTGATCTCAGGGTTGGGTCTCACCCGGTTTCTCCTCTAACTGCCACCACCCGCCCACACACCTAATACGCGCGCCCACGCGCCCACGCCGCCCGCCCAGGGCCCCGGAGCCCCTGGGCCCACTCTCGCGCCTGCAGCATTCGTTCCTCGCGGTTGCCAGGCCCGGCGGCGAGCCTCGACCCAAGGGGCCGTGCCCCGTCCGGACACACGCCCTCGGCGCAGGCCTGGCCCCGCTCTCTTCCCGCCGGCTCTGCCCTGTCCTCCGACGGGACGCGCAGCCTGCTGGCCTCCAGCCGCATCCCGACCCTCGTGCCCGGGGGACGGTGACAGGGCAGCGCCCCGGCCCAGCTGCAGCGCTGCTCCCGCGGGCGGCCGTCGCCTCTGGGCGGGCCGGTGACTCAGGCCGCGCTGGGAGACGGCCCGCTCCCTCGGCCTGGCGTGCTCGGACACCAAGAGTGGCCCGAAGCGGGACGCGGAGGTCAGGCGGGGACCCGGGGCCTCCTGTCCCAGCAGCACTGTCCCCCGCCCCGCCCCCCGGCCGCCGCCTCCGCCAGGGACGCCCCGCAGCAACCGTCTGCGGCTAATTCCTCAAAGCCACCCACTGTCCTCTCGGCTGTCCTGTGGCGCACACGGCGCAGCACATGCCCCCTCGTCCGGCCGGCGCCTGCCCCCCCCCCACCCGGGCACAGCACAGGGACTCCCTGGGACCTGGGGGTGGCCAAAGGCAGGAGAAGCCCACGGCCCCACAGGGGTGACGTCCTCCGGTGGGAGCTTGGCCCGTGTTGTTCAACCTGCCCGTCCCCCGGCGGGCACAGCAGTGGCTGACTCACAGGTGGGACCCAAACCTTAGATGAAGACAGGGGAGGGCCCCCAGGGAGCTTCCCCACAGGGCTACCCGACCACGGCAATCCCCACGTCAGCAGGCCCCTTCTCCGGCTGGGCCAAGCCGTGCCACCCCCTCCCGTCCGCCCTCCCCTTGCTGGGTTCCAGATCGCGACTCAGGCCCCTGGCCCCGGCCCCCCCTCCACCTCTCTTCACCCCAAAAGAGCATTCGGTGTCGAGTCTTGGAGAAGCCCGAGCGAGCGGGGACAGAGCAGGGAGCCGGGCCTGCTACCCCGGCACCCGCCAGCCGCAGCCCGCCTCGCAGCAGGGCGCCCGGGGCCCAGCACACGGCTTGGCTGAGACGCTCCCGCACGGCTCCCTGCTGCCCTGCCCCCGGGTCACTCCTGTCAGGGCGCTACGTCCTGTCTCGCCTCCCGCCGCGTGGCACTGTGCCCCCAGGAGCTGGGGTAGGGACCCCGCTCAGGCGTGCAGGAGCCTCGGCGGCGGCGGCTCCCATACAGAAGCCCACTCGTTCATCGTACGGTGTGGCGACGGGGGCCAGCGGCGGCCTCTGACACTCACGTGTGCTTCCGGTGGAATTCTAGAATCTTCTCAAGAGAGCGCTCCTGACTGGGCAGGTACTCATTGGCTTTGAGGTGCTCTCGGTCCAGGGTTTCATCATAATCTCCTATTTCCGCTGAAACGAGACCGTACCAGCCAGTGACTCTAACCGGCAAAGGAAAGCACAAGCGTCCGTACGTACAGATACGTGAACAGAGGCAGAGGAAATCCCAACCTGAAGTAGAAGAACACAGCGCTCAAGCGAGCTCTTGTTCCTCACGTTTCCACATACCTTAAGCTATTAAAAGGCAAACCTAAGGGCAGGTAAAGAAGTTTTTTCCCGAGTTTTGAAGAACAAGGACGCTGGTGAAGGACCCCAGGGAGGCCAACGCGGAGCCACCAGCTTATCCTGAGGGATTTGTTGGGTCTTAGACCACTTTACCCGTCTGTGCCTCAGGACTGTGGTGACCGGGAACAGGCAGCCTATTTTGTTTCAGGATAATGTGTCTTATTTTTTTTTTTGATTTCTAAAAAATTTTTTTTGTTTATTTATGATAGTCACACACAGATAGAGAGAGAGAGGCAGAGACATAGGCAGAGGGAGAAGCAGGCTCCATGCACCGGGAGCCCGACGTGGGATTCGATCCCGGGTCTCCAGGATCGCGCCCTGGGCCAAAGGCAGGCGCCAAACCGCTGTGCCACCCGGGCTCCCCGGATAATGTGTTTTAGATCATTTTTTTCCCCTCAGGGCCTCTCAAATTCTTGAGGAACAATGTCTCTAATTTCCTGAACCTTGAGGCCACTGATGTTTCAAGAGTCATAGCTGCAGCCCAATAATCCTAAACAGTACACGGCTTTTTTGTTTTGCGACCACCTCCGCTTCACAGGAGAGCTGCCCGCACGCTGCCAGAGCCAAGGGCGTGTTGCGCACCCACCAGGACTGTCCCGCCCCCGGCGCAGCGGCCCCGCAGCAGGACGGCACGGCACGGCTCCGCGGCGGTGTCTGAGCCTCACGCCCTCTGCGCTTCACCAGCCGCCCCGTGCTGCCTTCCACCGGCAGACGACCCGGCTCACAGTCACAGCTGGCGGCCCTGTCACTGCGGGTCCCTGCAGTAGGAACGCGACAGTCCCACGGGTTATCATAACTACCCTGCACAGCCGTGGAGCGGGCGGCACTGCCAGACACGCGCTGGCCCTGGAAACCTCCCGTCCGAGAAGACGTCAGACCCAACAAACAACGTCACTTTGGGCAGCCCCCGTGGCACAGCGGTTTGGCGCCGCCTGCAGCCCAGGGCATGATCCTGGAGACCCTGGGTCGAGTCCCACGTCAGGCTCTCTGTGTGACGCCTGCTTCTCCCTCTGCCTCTCTCTATGTGTCTATGAATAAATAAATAAAACCTTAAAAAAGTCGCTTTGAGATCTTACGCTAACAAGAGGCGACACGGCCCCTCGTGCAGGATGGCAAATCTGTGATCACACTTGCTACCCTCAGAGGCGTGTGGGGACCAAGTGAACCACAAATTAACCACATACTTATTAGCTGCTACGACTCCCCAAACTCTCTACATCCTGTGCTCAAAATTTCAGAAACTTTAGTTCTGCGCAGGGGCACTGCTTCCGCCTCCTCCGTCAGCTGGGGCTCCGGAAAGCCCCGGCAGGCCGCCGCCCGCGCTAGGAGCTCCTGCACCGTGTTCCTTCTCGCTCTTCTGAGCCATCCCTTGCTGCGTGGGACATACTGAGGCAGGTGTTCTCTCTCCCTCCCCAGGGTCTGATGCCTAACTCATCGCCAGACAACTGGGCCTTCACCCCAGGGAGGTCTCTCTCCAGGGGTGCCGAGGGTCGGCTCCCGGACTGAAGGCCCGTAGGGGAGAGCGCGGACAGGCACAGCGGAGACGTTCCCAGAGAAGGCGGCGGCTGCAGATCCCGGCCTTCAGCCTTTCTTTCCTGGGCGGAGACCGTCTGCCTCAAGGACTCCCACCTTGTAGACGTTGATCTTCAGAGAAAACGGGCAAACCGGAGGCCCGACCTCCCACCACACGCACCAACCGTGAGGGCGCATCAGGTGCCGGAGGTCAGGGGCGTCAGGGGCGTGGGCCCTGCGGAATCGTAGGTGCCCGGCGGGGCAGGGAGATACTAACACTGCAGAAGGTGGGATGCCAGCAGCGCCGCCGTGGTGTCCGCGCAGGGCAGACGCTCCTCCAGGAGGTCTCTCTTAAGTTGCAAGGCAAACAAGTATCTAGAAGGGAGTTGAAAACACCACAGGCGTCAACTCCAAAGGCTCTAGAGCACACCCCCCATGCCTCCCTCGCGGGAGAGCACAGAGCCCCAGGAAAGAGCAGCGGCCGGACACATCAGAGCAGACGGGAGCAGAGGCAAAGCAGCAGGAGGCCCGCGGCAGGCAGCTCAGTGGCGGGGTCACGCACAGCAGACCGCACACGCCTCCCAGACACACCACGCCTTCAAGGGGGAGCTCACAAATTCACGTTACTTCTGTTATACACACAAAACTGCACGCTGCGATTCCGCTGCGAAAGAGCAGAAATATCCAATTACGATATGATTTAAAACACAGCTATGACAGTTTTAGACAGACCGAGGATTTTGGTCTTGGCTAGGACCTGAGGGACGGGCACCCCTGGAGGGGAAGACCGTACCCAGAGAAGGCAACCTGAATGGAGTCGTACATTCACTCCACCGACAAGGAACCACTGAGCACGCACTACATCCCGGGTACGACCCGGGGGCTGGGGAATGAAGCGACACTAACCCCTGCTGGCATCCACGCTCTAGAGGCAGCTGGCTGTGTGTTCTCTTACAGTGTCCATGTGCTTACCCTCAAACTCAGTGATTTCATGTTTCTGAACTTTTCTGGAGAAATATTTTCCAGAGCTTACAGAGATATGTGGGCGAGGCTGTTTACTGGCAGCGACACCGTAGAGAAACCCTGGAAATAATTTAAGTATGCGCGGCGTTCAATGAGGGAGATGACAGCCACAAGCTGCCGAGGAAAGGCATCCGGGCCACGCTCTGGACATGCGGGTACAAAACAAAACAGAAACAAGCAACCTACGGTTCTGTCTGTATAGTGGGCCCGCTCTGTGAAGTCATCGCTCTGGAGACCTGGCCCACTGGTATGTTGCTATGAATTCATCTTCTGGGGACAGTGCGGCGGGCAGGGAGCAAAGTGGCACATTCGCTTTTTACATGGCTTTATGTTGAAGTTTCTCCTACCATAAACAGTGTATTTCTTACAAATTAAAAAAAAAAAAAAAAAAAGAAAAAAAGGAAGTTCTGCAGAAACATGACGTGCAGCCAGGACCCAGAATTAGGTAAGCCTCCTAGTTCATGTTATTTTCCAGGTATATTTATTAAAGAGTTATTCCTTCAAAGAGGACTTTTTGTCAAATCTCAGGGGCTTGATACACAATGACGATGAGTTCTGTGTTCACTCTTAAAAACACTTTTTGCTGTCCTTGGGGTTCAGTCTCCTTACCCACAAAATGGGGGCCGGACTAATGGGATCCCAACATCTCAGGGCAGCTGACAGCCTGTGATTCTGTGATGTTATACTGCTCTACAGAAACCTTCCAAAAAGAGGTTTGTGACATGCCTGTGATTCAGGGATGGATCCATCTGCAGCTGGAAGGGCTGTTACTACTCCAGCGGTATCACAGTTCTCTTTCCTCTTACATCTGACCTCGGGTTTTGAGTCAGTTCATAAAACACACAGAAGAAAACTTCCATAATCTTTTGTCCAGATGAAACAACTGTAATTGTTTCTGCCACAAAAGAGATCACCTAAAATATTTCTGCTCCATATATTTACAGACACTTCTCCCAGCTGGGCGTACTCTGTGCATTTATGATGGGTGAGAGTCCTGAGAACTTCATGCACTTGCATAACCCTGTGCTCAGCTGGAGACTATAGTTCATCAGTAAACAGCACAGCAACACATACCCCATCTCTGTCCCCAGATGTGCACCATATACCCTCTTCCAAGCTCTACTGGTATTTGTGTTGGTGCAGGAGTTAACTGCTCTTTTAACATGTGATCACACCTTCCATGCGTGTCACAGCGTCATTCGTTCTTAGACCACACACACCTGAGGCCCTGAAGAGCCAGGTAATGTGGGAGGCACAGGTGAGTTCCAGGCCCTGCTGACGGCAGCTTCAGGTTCAGGAGGGCTGCCTTTTTTTTTTTTTTTTTTAAAGATTTCATGTATTTGACAGAAAGAGAGAGAAAGAGAGAGAGAGAGAGAGAGAGACAGCATGCACACGCAGGGGGAACAGCGGAGGGACAGGGAGCAGCAGACTCTGGCAGTGAGCAGGGAGCCAGATGTCGGGCTTGATCCCAGGACCCTGAGATCATGACCTGAGCCGAAGGCAGATGCTTAACAGACTGAGCCACCCGGGGGCCCCAGGAAGGGCTGTTTACCTTGTAAATTCTTCCTGCAACTGACCCGGATCAGGAGGGAAAAATTTCACTGCTAGACGAAGCAATGTGTTCTTTGGCCCTATGAAAAGAAACATTTTCAACTTCACATGTAAGGTCAATTCCACTGTTTTTTGAGATCTTTATATACTTGAGTGGAAAAAAAACGTCATCACTCACTATACTGAACCAGAACCCGATTACTGTAAAGGAAAAGCACAAGATGCTGGCTCATCTGAGCATCTCAGTTTACTGGAATTCGGTCACAGCAGAGCTATGTAATTTTCACCATGCAGAAAAGAGGTGGTGGTGTGCTACGGAGCCACGAAGACCTAAATGGCCCTAGGTCACCAGTGACTAATGAAGCTACTGGCCCCCATCCTTCTCTCCTCTAGGGGACCAAACAGATTGCAGGTGAATCTGGACCCCTGGGCACAGCCAGTAGAGTATGCGCTCCAATTTTAAGAATTTAATGGAGACTAACAAAAATAATTATGTCTGTAATTACAAAACGGTATTAACTATTTTATTAAATAATGTCATTAAATTGTGTGTCAACTATACTCAAAAAATAACACTACAAAAAATAAAGTTTTCGAAATTGTTAAAAAAAAATTAAGGAGCTAATTAAAGCAAGCACCTCAATGCCTTTTTATTTCAGGGGAGATGCTTAGTTTCGCATATTGACCAGAAGTTACAGTGACCCATCCGAGAGCATATCCTGTTACCGTGCAGCCGGCAGTCACTGCACTGCTCCCCAGAACGGGGACAACGAAGCTCTGAACAGAGCCGCGGTTTGAACAGTCAAGAACAAAAGCAGCATAAACGAACAGAATTGCAAGAGTTAAAAAAAGGACTTACTTCGTACTTGCCTAATGATGGGCTTCATGGGTTCCAGCCAGATCTGGAGAGGATTTAAGAAAAGAGATCAAATGCATTCAACGATTTCTCTATCTAATAACTACGTTACAAAACACAGAACTGTTTACAAGCAGGAGAGAGAGTTGAGGCGGGCCTGTTTGCCCTGGGCTCACACCCCCGTCAAATCCTGACAGACACCTGGGAGAGGAAGAGGAGTGCCCGCCCCGGGAAGCGTGGGGGGTGGTAGGATGCCACGTAGGACAGGAGCCCTCCGCTGCTCACACGCTGGTGGTGCAGCGCGGGTACCAGTAAGTACTTCGGGGCATCGGTTAAGGCCAAACAAGTCTTTGGTACTCGCTGCACTTGTACGCAACCACCGGACGGGAGCGCCACTGCACGAAGGGGTGGACGGAGCCCTGCAACGCTGACACGTCCACTCAGTCGGCTGATTCTGGGCTCTTTCTTTAAGTGGATTCCACACCAGTGTAGAGCCCAATGCGGGGCCTGAACTCACAACCGTGAGCTCAAGACGTGAGCTGGAATCAGGAGTCAGACTCTGCACTGATGGAGCCGCCCAGGCGCCCCTGATCCTGGTTTCCTTAAAACAGTTCTACGTGTAAATATTAAAGCTCCACGCTTTTTAAGGCTGATTTCGTCTGCCAAGTAGCACGAGGGATAACCAATTAATTTAGTAAAATGGTTTTGCTCAAAATAATTTTCATGCAGACGTATTAGAGGTTGTTTCTGGGGTTCCCCGGCACGTGCTGGTGGGGAGAACAAACTTAGGGAGGATGGGAACTCAGCTCAGCTCAAAGGCAAACACAGTCCCCGTCTCCGCAGTCGAGCTCTGATACACGTGACAGGGTGTCGTGCCTGCACACGCGGCAGGTTCTCGAGGGCTCTCTGTGGCCGCGCGCGCTGTCCGCACCCAGGGCACACCTGAAGCCCGCTTGCAAGATAAGGCAAGGACACGTACCCAGTAGGACCGGGGGTGCTGGAACTCCAGCCCGAAGTAGTCGCACTCCGTCAGGTTCAAGTGCCGCCACACCTGCGTCAGCAACGCCTGGCCATCGCGCTTAGGCTGTGGGGGGGGGGGGGCACAGGCACAGGAGGGTCAGGTGCTTTCCCACCACGAGGGTTTGTGAAACACTGTGTGTGCCCCGCCTCCCGCGGGGAAAGGTCCACCGTGCTGGACCCCACCTCCCTCGGCCCTCTCTACGGCTTATGGCCATCACCGAGGAACCAGAGAGCCTAAGGCTCTTCGAGCTTGGAACCTGGCACCCCGCGAGGCCAGACACCCCCTCGGTCAGGTGCCCAGCCGTGTCCTGAGCCCTTTCCCGTGTAACCCGAGGCACTCTCAGGACGCGGAACCCATTTCCGGCCTCGGTAAACAGTTTATCAAACAATTTGATATTTACTAAAACGGTGGGGCTCGCGCTCCACCCGCGCCTGCGACCGCGGCGAATCCTTTATTATCCGGTAAGACGTCAGCGAGAACATGCGGGCTGTTCAAGCACGAGGGGCAAGCGGCTCTCTAGAAGGAAATGCGGTTAGACCCCTGGTCTGCTGCTCACGAGAACGCATTCCAGTGGACAAAGAAGAGAACAAAGCAGAGGAGAAGATTTCTCCCACCTTGGGTAAGTCAAGTCTCCCTAGTAGCCTAAAGAGGGATTTGATTAAACAAAGAGAAGAATCTTCTGAGTAGAGAAACGGTGAACAAAGTTACAGCGATGCTCTCTCTCATGGTGCATTAGATAAAGAAATACACGGGCAGCCCCGGGGGCGCAGCGGTTTAGCGCCTGCCTTCGGCCCAGGGCGTGACCCCGGGGTCCCGGGATCGAGTCCCACGTCGGGCTCCCTGCGTGGAGCCTGCTTCTCCCTCTGCCTGGGTCTCTGCCTCTCTCTCTCTCTCTCTGTGTGTGTCTCTCAGGATAATACGTAAAATCTTTAACAACAACAACAAAAAAGAAATACAAATGGTTTTAGGCACAGGAAAAGGTACTCAAGCCCTCTAACAATGAAATAAATGAAAACGAAGAGAGCATTTTCACCTGTCTCAGAGGTCTGGGAGAGCGACGCGGTGCCGCTGTGGGAAGACAGCCGTGTCACACCGTCCGGGGAAGCCCGGTCCCTCCCATCTGCTGGGAGAATTTGAAAACACCTCCAGGATTCACAGCGTACACATGTATCCCTGCTCCAGCAATTCCACCTCGAGAAGACATTCTCACAGTCGCTAAACATGCAAGGACAAATCCAACGACGAACTGATGACATAAACGGTGTATCGACAGCTGAAACCACGCAGACCCTACAAATTCTGTATGTGCTCCCGCGGAAGAGAGTCCAGGCCTGCAGTTCAGTCACGGAGCAGAGAGGGTTCCCCTTGTGTTCCGCGTCCGGAACAGAGTCCATTTCATAGAAGACTCCGACTGGTGGAAGGGGAGGAGGGCGGGGGCGGGGGGGACTGGGTGGCGGGCACTGAGGGGGGCACTTGACGGGATGAGCCCTGGGTGTTATTCTGTGTGTTGGCAAATTGAACACCAATAAAAAATAAATTTATATGTAAGAAAAAAGACTCCGACTGCACGGACCTCTGACTGAAGCAAGTCTGGAGGCTGCACACCCCGTCCTCCAAGGTCACGGCCGCTGAGGACTGAATGGAGCTGGGGAGGGCCAAGTGCTTTCACTCTTATATAGTAACTTCTATGACGTCTACGTTTTCCATCAGTGGGCAGCTGTCATTTTTTTTTTAAGATTTCATTTATTTATTTGAGAGAGAGAGAGACGGAGATAGCGACAGACACCGAGAGAGCACGAGCGGGAGGAGGAGAAGCAGGCTCCCTGCCTGGCAGGGCTCAAACCCAGGACCTCGGGATCACGACCTGAGCCCAAGGCGCCCCCAGCATCTGTCATTTTTGCAGGAAGAAAACAACAGACCTAAGTGGGAAGACAGCGAAGCCCCGCTGTTCCCAAGGACGCCGTGTTCTGGACGCGCATCGGCGGGCTTTCTCCCGCGGCCCCGGAGGCCCTCCCGCTCCCGGTGAGCGCTCTCCCGTGGGGGCACAGAGCTGCAGCGCACCACGCGGGGCGAGGCCCAGCACAGCGCACGCACGCCGGCCCGGGCCGGGGGCAGAGTCCTCTGGCGGGGTCAGGGCGGGGAGTTCCGTTCGCCCACAGGCCCGGCCTGGACACCTGGACACCTGGCCGCTCCCTCCCAGGGGACGCCCTGCCCCCGAGCTCCTGCCCGGCCCTAGGTCAGCTCCACCTGCCACATCACGTGGGCGCGGGCCGCAGCACCGTGCTCACAGCGTGCTGTCACGCAACCACCTGTTCGGGCGCACCCTTCCCGTCGGAGGGCGGGCCGCCCACCTTCGCAGCTCCAGGCTCGCCCCACGGGAGGTGCGCCGCGAGAGGCCCGAGGCGCCCACGCTGCCCTGCTGCCCTAGCCCTGCCTCTCCGTTGTCAACCGTGTGGTGCGGCGGTAGGACCCACAGCCCGACCCACGAGGTCCCCTTGCTCCACGAGGCCTGCCCGCAGCAGGCCCCAGCGTATCCAGTGTGCAGGCACACAGGGCGCTCGTGGTGCACCAGCGTCCAAACCCAGAACAGGGTTTTCAAACCTGGGCATAAAAAAAAAAAGAGAGACCCCTGGGTGGCTCAGCGGTTTAGCGCCACCTTCAGCTCAGGGTGTGACCCTGGGGTCCCAGATCGAGTCCCACGTTGGGCTCCCGGCACGAAGCCTGCTTCTCCCTCTGCCTGGGTCTCTGCCTCCCTCCACCCCGCCGCCCCCGTGTGTCTCTCATGAATAAAAAAAACTTTAAAAAAATATATTTAATTACACGTTTCTGTATGAATGCACAGACACGCACCTACGGATACGCGTACATCTGCACACACACATATAGATAAGAGACCCCCCTCCACCGCTACGGATACACCTACACTCCTGCAGATACGCACACACCCATACGCACACACACTCAGCTACAGATACACGCAAACCCACATACACAAACCCACACCCCTGCAGATACACATATACTCGCACACACATATACACATGGTACATTTTACTAAATGGGAGTACATTTTACTAAAGTAAAAAAGCTTTCTCGACTCAGTTATCCTATGGTTCAGGCCACAAAAAGGAACTCTGTATTCCCCACGTCACCAGAAATACATACTGAACTTCTACAAAACCCAGCAGAATCAGGTGTTTTCACAAACCATCTAGGGACAGAGATTTCCAGACCAGCTATTTATTTATTATTATTTAAAAAAATGTATTTATTCATGAGATTCAGAGAGAGAGAGAGAGAGAGAGAGGCAGAAACCCAGGCAGAGGGAGAAGCAGGCTCCCTGCAGGGAGCCCGACGTGGGACTCGATCCCAGAGCCCCGGGGTCACGCCCTGGGCCAAAGGCAGACGGTCACCCACGGAGCCACCCAGGCATCCCTCCAGAGCTATTTAAATTGCTCCAAAGCGTGGTGGGTGCTACTAGTGGTCTCTTCTAAATCTGCTTCATGGGAATGAACTCCCAAACTCCATATAAACACAAACACATTCAAGAGAGAAAAATCCCAAGTTATAGGTATCAGTGAAAATATCCTGAGAAAGGGGCCCTGGGGCCTCAGTCAGTTGAGTGTCCGACTCTTGGTTCTGGCTCAGGTCATGAGCTCAGAGTCCTGGGATCGAGCCCCATGTCAGGTTGCATGCTGGGCGTGGAGCCTGCTGGAGATTCTCTCTCCTTTTCCCTCTGCACCCTCCCACCCCTCTCAAAAAAAAAAAAAAATCCTGAGTAAAATATTAGCAAACATAATCCAGCAACAACTAAGACTAATATTAACCAAGTAAAATTAATAAAAAAAACAGGATAATTCAATATAGTATCAGCACATTAATAGATCAACAGATCTCTCAGAAAAAAATCCTAGGATTATTCTCAGAATCAAGAACCTGAGAAGATACCTGATAAAATTCAATTTCTACTCTTCATATAAATTCTTTTTCTTTTTTAAAGATTTATTTACTTGAGAGAAAGAGCAACGGAAAGACAGCACAAGTTGAGGGGAGGGGCAGAGGGAGAGGGAGAAGCAGACTTCTTGCTGTGCAGGGGCCCCGATGTGGGGCTCCATCCCAGGACCCTGGTTTCCTGACCTGAGCCGGAGGCAGATGCTTCACCAACAGAGCCACCCAGGAGTGCACCCCCCTCCTTTTTTTTTTTTTTTTAAGATCTACTGATATAAATTTTTTTAAAAAATATTTATTTATTCATGATAGAGACACACACACACACACACACACACACACACAGAGGCAGGAACACAGGCAGAGGGAGAAGTAGGCTCCACAGGGAGCCTGATGTGGGACTCGATCCTGGGACCCCAGGATCACACCCCGGGCCGAAGGCAGATGCTCAACTGCTGAGCCACCCAGGGATCCCTAAATTCTTAATAAAAGAGGAAGTAAATGTGATTCTTTAACATTTCACAAGATGAGGAGGCCACTCCCAACAATACACTCAATCACTACTATGTGACACCAACATGAAAACAGAGAAAGAAATGAGAGGTAAAAACAAACAAACAAACAAAAAAAAAACAGAAAATAAAACTGTCATCTGTAGATAGGATAATTTACTTTGAAAACATAAGAACATCAACTAGAAAACCATAATGACTACACATACATCAAAACAGCCTTCACCTACACACAATTCCCACCATTTTCAGGACAGAAAGGAAGACAATCACATTTGTAGCTGCCACAAAAGAGTTGAAATATCTTGGAATCAACTTAACACAAGAAAGCTTCATGGGGAGAATTTTAAAAACACTACGATGATAGAAAAAGGGGAGCAGAGAAGGGGCGTGCAGAGGCGTCGGTCACACCATTTCCCTGCACACAAACACCTTCACAGAAGTGCCAGTGCTCCTTGAATTAAGCCAGATTCCACGTTGTCCTCATAAAAGGATTAAAAGGATTCTCGGAGGAACCTGATAGGCTAACTCTATGGTTGGTGTTTTTTTAATGCAAGCATGCCAATGAAAAAGAAAATAGGAGAGGACTATTCAACCTGCTGA